ACCAGCTAGTATCAGCACCGCCGATGACAAGGTCGTAATAAATGAAGAATTTTCTTCTTTTCTCCCCAATTGCACAAAAATGGAAATAAAGACTTTGTGATAATGCGGCCTATATCCAATTGCCGCCATCTTCATTATAGTCGCCATAATGATTCATAGACAGTGTTAACAAGGAAAGGATGCTTCTGTACGTAGAGAACACTTCGAAAGCCGCCAGTCGCCTCCTGCCACCACTTGCAGTTGGAGTTGCGCACATACCGGAGGCGACCATCATGCGCCAGGTCATGAGGTTGAAAGACGCATTGCCACAGCAGGGAACGCACGGAGGTGTTTATAGGACCTGAACCGCCGCGGACAAAGTAATTTCCTCAGATGAACTGGATGATTCCTCTAAATGCGAATAGCTAAACATACAGTAGCGGTCAGGAAGAATGACTTTAGCTTGTTCTACGGTAACCGGTAACACATGTTAGATCTACAAGGTCGACATTCTCGCAAAAGATGGGAACGCGTTGGTCATAAGCTGCTCTCCTCGTGGTTTCCCGCCGAGCATTTAAATGGCGAAACTACCACCTACCGACTCCATATTCTGAGAGGAAAGCCGAACACTGTCTCATCGATGGGCCCGCGAAGCTGAATGCTGCTCACTTGAAAAGCAGCGACTGATCAGTCCACCGGCTGACGCGGGAGAGGCCAAGCGCAAGTTGATTTGACCACAATTACGCCGACCCCAAAGCGAAAAAAGGTCACGCAGGCGTGTCAGGAGTCAGCCCCGGGGAGGTCTAAGCCAGTCAGCGGCAAACAGGCAAGTGAACGTTCGTGCGTCCAGCACGGCTATAATACGAGGCTAGCGGCAAGACTGAACAACTCAAGACCGACAAGTGCAAAAACTACGCTATACTGATGATGGAAAAGAGGAATTTTCCGAAACGTCAGTTCGAATACAATATGGTCCATGGATTCGCCCTCTCTTCTTCTTCGTCTTCTTCAGGAGTTGATGAACGCGATACAATGTCTTGACCTCGAATCATTACGCATATCGATATATATATATATATATATATATATATTCACTCAGGAATGGGCGCACACCGATCCATTGGCTTCCCGAAGCAAACAAGCTTCGTATGGGCGATAGGGGTCACGAACAGGCAACCACTTACCAGGCCGAAGTCGGCCAAGCTATGATAGCAGAGGGGAGACGACAGAGTCTGGGGGTAGATTGATACAGCACTGTTTCGGGCTTATTCTGCCTTCATTCAGACAATCATAACCCTGACCACCAGCAGCTGGTACCGGAAACACAAACATGCGCTCAGACGCACCTGGCGCAGCTGGTCCACCACTGGGGTCTACCAGATGGGTCATAAGCACTTCATCGAACCGAAGATCATCAGTGCCTCGCCACCTGTCATTCTCTGTCGCTGCAGATCGGGTATTTATTCACTCAGGAATGGGCGCACACCGATCCATTGGCTTCCCGAAGCAAACAAGCTTCGTATGGGCGATAGGGGTCACGAACAGGCAACCACCTACCAGGCCGAAGTCGGCCAAGTCATAATAGCAGCGAGGAGGGACGACAGAGAATGCGGGTAGATTGATACAGCACTGTTTCGGGCTTGTTTGCCTTCATTTAGCCAATCATAACCCTGACCACCAGCAGCTGGTACCGGAAACACAAACATGCGCTCAGACGCACCTGGCGCATCTGGTCCACCAATGGGGTCTACCAGATGGGTCATAAGCACTTCATCGAACCGAAGTTCATCAGTGCCTCGACACATGCCATTCTCTGTCGCTGCAGATCGGGTATTCATTAACTCAGGAATGGGCGCACACCGATCCATTGGCTTCCCGAAGCAAATATATATATATATATATATATCGCGTTCACCATCTCCCGAAGAAGACGAAGAAGAAGAGAGGGCGAATTCATGGACCCTTTTGTATTCGAACTGACGTTTCGGAAACTTCCTCGTTTCCATCATCAGATTAGCGTAGTTGTTGCACTTGCCGATCTTGAGTTGTTCAGTCTTGCCGCTTGCCTCGTATTATAGCCGTGCTGGACGCACGAACTTTGACCTGCTTGTTTGCCGCTGACTGGCTTAGACCTCCCCGGGGCTGACCACTGACAGGCCTGCGTGACCTTTGTTCCCTTTGGGGTCGGCGTAATTGTGGTCAAATCAACGTGCCGCTTGGCCTCTCCCACATCAGCCGGTGGACTGCTCGGTCGTTGCTGTTCAGTTGAGCAGCATTCAGCTTCGCGGGCGCGTCGGTGAGGGAGTGTTTGGCTTTGGTCACATGACCTCTGGCCCCCAATTCCGCTCTTTTCCGTGAGCGTTGACTCTCGGTCCCGCGTGCTCGCTTGTCTTACTGGTCCTGTCCGGACTGATCCGAGCCTTGTACGCAGCGCCTGATAGGCGGGATGTAGATCTATAGCTCGGTTGAGTGTACCAGCCGAGGACCAACTTTCGAGCACCAGTCTGGCCATCTTCTCATTGGCTCTGCCAATTACCCTCGCTTTCTCAAAGGCAAAATCGTGGTTCAGTTCTCTTATGTGGCCATAGACCAAAGACAGCTTGTCCTTGCGGTTGATTGCAAGTTGGTGTTCGTGCAATCTTGTACCGAGGCGTTTGCCCGTTTCACCAACATACCTCGCATTGCAATTTAGGCATGGTATGCTGTAGACCACCGCCGACTGTTCTGTTGTTGGTAGCGGGTCTTTGGGCTTCATGATTTGCTGTCTGATGGTGCATTCTGGTTTGGTCTGTCTGTTCGTCTGCCCTTTCAATTGAGTATTGCTCGTCTATGCCCAGGAAAGTTACAGTCCATATATTTTAGCAAAAGTGATCATGCGCATATCAACTATCTAACACATCACCCCCTGACCTAGAGCAAGCCCCCGATTTTATATAGGCATAATCTTAAATTTGTACCCTAGAACAAAGAGAACAGTTCGGCAATTTTGGCGACATGTTGACACTTCAAATGCTGGCTGTTTTTCTCTAAAAGCAATGGAAACTTTTAGCATGTGCTTATTATGATTCACGTTGGTCGCTAGTCACACATACTACTAAAATTGGCGACTGTGTTTTGTGCCGACTGAAGGACCTATCTACAATTTATTATTTATGGTGACCACCTGCAAAGAAATGGATTGGTGAAAACGACAAATTATGTAGTATGCATTTCTCAAGTAGATTGCTTATGCTCGCATAGTAAAAAATACTTCTCATAGAAAGTATATGTATAATACGATCATTATGCTCGTTCAGTTAGAGCAAATATGAGATTTTGACCAACTAGTTGATGATAATGATGATTAGGTACCCACTGGAATCATATTGGACACGAACTAGAACAACTTAGAGAGCACTGTTGATCAAGTGTTTGTTGGCGTTTTGGGTATGAAGACAAATATGCGATCAAAAGTGCTCTAAAGCACTTCTGAGCGAGGTAAACCACATTGGGAGAACAATAGTTAATCCCATAGCAGATTCGTATCAAGTTAAGGACAGTCAACCAGCAATGTCGCAGACGTCTTCATAAAGGTACCAGTAAGTTCATTTATAACGCAGATAATGAAAACGCAAGGAAATGTGCAACAGGAAAGCAGCACACGGAATTGCATACCCTGCGACATTCTCAAGCCCCACCTAAGTAAATTACCAAGAAACTGCAGCCGAGAGTTTGTCTGGTAGATGTAGTTCATTAGGAAAATTTTATGGACTACGTCGACGATTATCTTCCTAAAGGCAGCTCGCACGCAGTACCACGCCGAATCACCGTCGGCGACGTAACCTGGCGGTACTAACTCACTAGAGCAGGACCCGAAAGGAAGAGAGCCGTTGACACACGTGGCCGATCCACACACTGCATTAGGAAGGAAAGTCAGTATGCCGTCCGTATTAACAGTTCCATTGACATACGTAGCCTAGCCGCTTGCTAGATAAGAAGGAGATTAACTACCTTTTCAATTGAACGCTAAGTCGGTGTGCACTTCGTCATACCACTGTCACTGAGGCCACTTTAGCGTTCTCACCCTACTCAAAAGTAATTCAGTAGCTTGACCTTTGACATCATTTAGGTGCAGCTGCAGGAGAAAACCTTACTGAAAATTTTACGATAAGTAAGTTCGAATATAAAACGCCATATCTTTTCGCATTCTGCTCCGGCTTTTTACAAACCTTTAGAAAACCGCGCCTACGCACTACATTTGATTACTGTGAAAACTGCGACGAATTGACTTGTTTTAAAACTAGTATATGAAAATCCTCTCACGTGTTCATTTTAAAAAAATGTATACGTGCGCAGTTCGGTAGTAGATTGCATGGGAAAAATAATATTTCAAGACTAGTCATTAGAAAGACAAAACAGGATTTAGCCATTTTTAAGTCTTCGTATATTCTCATTCGAAGGTCGCTACAAAGAACAAATAGGCAAATCTCCGTCCGTAATCGCAGACCTACCTTACAATGTTGAAGCCCACACTGTTCTCATGTGGTCGGCCAACGCGAAGTTCTTTGAACATATGATACCCTCTCTACGATCACCAATCCTCCATATCTGAATCCCACATTGATCTTTGTATGGCTGAGTGAGGGTGGGCAAAATACCATATGTCCTTCTATGCACGCTTTTGACGCCCCGTAGGCGGAGGCTTTGGGTTAGGCAAACCACTGCTACCGACTTAGTTACCACATGCCTTGACTCAGAGAGTAACTGGGAGGTCGGATCTAATTTCGTAGCCATAACTGAAGTAGACGATTCCCAGCCTAACTACTTATCCCACCCCTAAACTTAATCCCAAACCCTGAGCACCTACTCCTAATGAAGGCAAAATTTCGAGTTCCAGGTGTATACATATTTGAAGAAGAAGAAGAGGCGAGCACCGGAACAATTCGTTTATTATCCTGAGCTTTCAGACTCGTACAGGAGTCCATCGTCAGAGGTAGTGGCAGAAACAGGACAAGCGGCAGTTATAAGGCACGTAGACCCAATCATCGACCGACGCCGCACGACTGGAGGTGACTACGAAGGGCTCTGTACGCCGGCGCCAGATCGATAAATCGATTGACCGAGTTCTCATCCGAGGCCCAGGTTTCAATCAATTCTCGGCCTGTTTTGTTTCCGGCGTGGGCAACTATTTTGGTGGCTGCGAAGTCAAACTCGTGACCCATTTCGTAGGTGTGGGCGGCCACTTGTGATAATGCGTCGCCTCGACGCACAGCCAGCTTATGTTCATGTATGCGCGATCCGAGCATGCGTCCAGTCTGTCCTGTGTAAATACAAGGACAATGTTGACACGGAATGCGATACACTACTCCAGATTGCTCTTCAGGTTTTAACCGGTCTTTGATTTTCATGACCCTGTTGCGCATGGTGGCTTTGGGGCGGTGTGCGATTCCAACCCCTAGCTCCGCAGCAATGCGCTCGGTCGCTTCTGAAACACCCTTGATGTATGGCAGAGAATGCCATATCGTCGGTGGCGTTGATGTTTGAGTTCTCTGGTGGCGACCGCGTAGGCAGCGACTCATGAATACCCTCGGATAGCCATTTTGCACAAACTGGTCGCGGAGATAACGGGCCTCGCGCGCTCTATCTTCCAGTTTGCTGCAATGAGTTTGGATCCGTTTGAAGAGCGTCTTCACACAGCTTCGTTTGTGAGCCACCGGATGGTCGCTGTGAAAACTGAGAAGCTGTGTGGTGTTCGTTGCCTTCCTATAAACCGTCGTTTCAAGTTCACCGTTAAGGTTTCGTCTGACGAGCACATCCAGGAAGGGCAACTGCTGCTCCTGTTCTTCTTCTCTCGTAAATTTTATATCCGGGAAGACTGCGTTGAGCAGGCTGTGAAAATGTTGCAGCATGTCCTTCTTTACGATGACGAACGTGTCGTCAACGTAACGTCGCCAAAACACCGCTTCATGTTGGAGGAAGGCAATCTTTTCCAACTCCTGTAGGACCAAACTGGAGACCGGTGAGCCCATTGGGGTTCCATTGATTTGTTCATAGGTCTCTCCCGCAAAAGTAAAGAAAGTTTGTTGGCAGAATTCAAACAGCCTCATGAGGTGTTCAATTTTGAGGGCATTCTGAGTCTCATCGTACGCCTCTTCAAGTCTCTTGCGCAAGACTTCGCGGGCCACGTTTGGTGGGATAGATGTGAATAACGACGTCACATCGAAGGAGACCATGATTTCGTCCGATTGAATTCTCCGACCTCGGAGGTCTATGAGGAATTGAGAGGCTGATCGAACTGAGGTAGTCGAATTGCCTTGGAGGAACTTCAGTTTTGAGTACATCCAATTTGCCAAATTGTAGGTGGGGCTGCCTTTTAGGGCAACGATTGGCCGAAGTGGGACATTTGCTTTATGGATTTTTGGCAGACCATAGAATCGGGCTACAGCGGTGTCAGTTGCCCTCATTTGGTGCCATTCATTCTCCGTGATCACATTTTTATGTCGGTATTCTCTAATCAATTTACTCAGCCGATCTGCCACTGCTTTGGCTTGTGACTTCTGTGCTGGTCTGTAAAATTCTCTGTCATCAAGAAGGGCTTTAGCTTTTTCATTATAGTCTTCTCTATTCATCACGACGGTTGATCGTCCCTTGTCAGCAGGTAGAATGATAATGCTGTCGTCCCTCATCAGTTCCCTCATAGCCTTTAACTCACTCTGCGAAATACATTTGGTTGGTCTGTGTGTCATCAGCAAGGAGGTAATACGCTGTCGGACGGAGTGTTTCATGTCGTCGGATGTTTCACTTCTCACAAGCATAGCTTCCAGGGCTGCAATGAAGTCGACAGGATCGGCATCTGCAGTGTTGAAACACGTTTCATGCTGCAACACTCGTAGTTGCTGCTCTGTTAGCTGCTTAGACGAGAGGTTGTGGACCAAGTTTGAGCTTTCTGTGCCTGGTGGTTTTAGCTTAGTCAGTTTCCGTTCCAAAACTTCTCACTTCTTGGCTTGCCTGTGGTGTGCCAGAGCAGAGATCGTCTTCCCAAGATCTGCGGCGATAGAATCGCCGAGAGTGTGAACACACTGCCTTCTGAAGATGAAGATGCGATCACTGGGACAAGAAGTTTATTGGCCTGACGTTTCGGGTTCTCACTCGAGCCCATCATCAGAGACATTCGCAGATAGAGGTAAAGGTGGCACCAGGACTGCAGTACACTACTACACTGCCTTCTGTTCTCCTCGATCTCAGCCTTGTACTTCTGCAAACGTCGATGACAGTCGTCGATCAGAACTCTTGTCATCTGTTTGACAAACCGCCTCACAACTTATCTTCCCATGGCCGTATTAACGGGAGCTTTATATCTCAGGCATCGTGATGCTAGTTCGTCTTGGAGACATCGGTGCAGAAAACGTAGCTGCTCGTATGTTGCTGCCTCTCGTGTAGAGAATAACTCCCAGCTGCGAGCTGTCCGAAGCGCATCGCGCCCGAATGTTTCAGGAATGAAGGCAAAATTTCGAGTTCCAGGTGTATACATATTTGAAGAAGAAGAAGAGGCGAGCACCGGAACAATTCGTTTATTATCCTGAGCTTTCAGACTCGTACAGGAGTCCATCGTCAGAGGTAGTGGCAGAAACAGGACAAGCGGCAGTTATAAGGCACGTAGACCCAATCATCGACCGACGCCGCACGACTGGAGGTGACTACGAAGGGCTCTGTACGCCGGCGCCAGATCGATACATCGATTGACCGAGTTCTCATCCGAGGCCCAGGTTTCAATCAATTCTCGGCCTGTTTTGTTTCCGGCGTGGGCAACTATTTTGGTGGCTGCGAAGTCAAACTCGTGACCCATTTCGTAGGAGTGGGCGTCCTGTTTCTGCCACTACCTCTGACGATGGACTCCTGTACGAGTCTGAATGCTCAGGATAATAAACGAATTGTTCCGGTGCTCGACTCTTCTTCTTCGTCTTCAAGCATATTCCTAAACCCAACTCTTGACCCTAACCCCTTATCCTGACCCTTAATCTTAAACGTAATTCATAGCAGGTACGGCTACAAAATAAAACATATTTTCTTTAGAGGATGAAACTGATAAATAGCGACTATCGGCATATCATTACAAAAGCACACTTATTCGTCCATTTTACATTGCGCTGGCGATTGGTATCTCATCTAGATGTAATTACATGACTTTGTATGCAGTAAACTATCTGCAAAGCGTTTATGGAATATAAAATATACTGTTATAGACTACGTACGTTTCTATTAGAACGTTTGCATTCGCTGGTAATATGGCTAAGTAGTCCTCTTTAAATACATGCTTATCCTTCCTTTAAAAGCAATTGCTCGTTGTTCCTACGTAAACAGAATGGTATTAGCAACTGATTGGGCCACACGACGGTTAACAAGGACAATTTCTAAAATAATGTCGGGGCATATTTATTGTGGTCTGTTTTTCATCCCCTTAGACTGTTCTGGAATTTTTTTGCTTCTACATAATGTTTTGTAATTTTATTTATCATGAAAAGTCTTGACAAATGCTTTTTGTGTTAAGGGTTTACGGTCTAGCGCCTTAAAAGCTTCATTGTTGATTTATGAATTGGCTCGATGGAGATATGCACATACATATCAAGATTACGACGGACATCTGAACATTGGCGCATGGTCTACATTTACAGTTTTACTTGACAATTAGTTACCTATAGAAGTCTGCGATATTCGTTTATTTACACAAGCTATTCCACCAGGATAAAAAAATTGCGCCCTCGCATAAAGGACGCTAACTACAAATCATCTGGCATGTAATCCTATTTCTCAAGCCATCAATCATGTATCAGTAAAATTCCCCATATGTTATAGAGGTTGACCGAAACGCAGGTGAATGCCATTTGGCCGTCCGGGTACTGCGGACAGCATTGTTTTTACCTCGTTCGTGCCTTTTCACAATTTGGACTTTGCCGGTACAGTTGTAGATTGTTTTACTTTCATAACAACGTTGGCGTACTTTAGGCAGTGGAAAGTGGTAGCTTAACCGTATACAATTTGCGATATTGCAGACTCAACAAAAGATTGGTGTATTTTTTTGAAGTTTTGAAGCAGATTACAGCAAATATGAGGACTTATCAAACATCAAGTATTTTTGGCCGTACCTCATTGTCTGGTTTCTGATAAAACCATGCTTTACACAGACGTAATCAATGTTCTGGCAAAAGTGTTCTCTTTAATTTTCGGCGGTTGTTCTCCTTGCTATTGAAATTCATACATCCGAATCAGTAACATTTTACGGGTTGAAATGGACTAAATATTATGGGTGGATTCAGTCTCCCAAATTTCTTTTACTTAATTGTAAATCATATATCTCTCAATAGAATGTGTAGTCACGTGGCTGGCGCAAACGCCAAAAATCGAAGACTGCAACGGGACTCATATCAGAAACAATACTGTCAACAAATTTGATTGGTTGTTAAGCCCCTTGATAAATACAGTATTACGTAAATCCAATACGTTATTTCAAAAAATGAAGTGCGGCATATCTTTGCTGGAAGTGTGCGCACAGTTAAATGCCGTCCTTAATCGTCTCGTTTGCCAAGCAAATAATTCGTTCCTCGCAATGTTATATTCAAACATATTGCGCAAATCTGGTCAGACAGATTTCCCATAAGTGATGTACTATAAGCTAGCCACATCCGAATCATCCGACCCCTTTTGCATGCAACGTAAATTACATTAGTCAGAGAATACAATACTCTTATCGCGCGTTTGACTGCTATTTAACATTATAATGATAGTTTAAGAGACCAGTTCATTTAGACGCCCAGGTCTTTCTATTCTTCAACACTTGAAGTGGGCTGCCGGTTAAGGAGGTAATGAAAATAATCATGCTCCTTACTGATACTTCCTGTAGCGTGTACCGGTCTGCGTCAGATCTGATGGCTCTCCGCATTCTAACATTGTCGGCAAACATTACGACGTTGCATCCTAGGTCTGTGACAATATCGCTAGTGTAAATTACGAATAGCGACGGCCCTAAGACTGAGCCCTGGGAAAAGCAATCACGGCGAAGGTAGGAGATGACCTCAAGGCATCAACACACACAATTTATTGTTTTTGTCCTAAGTACGGTTTCCATTAATTTAGTGCAGATGCAGGTACGACTAACGAACCGGCAATTGCCAGCGCTAGTGTGAGCCCCACGAAATTATATCCGGAAGATATTTACTGCCTTCCATTCGGAGGGCAGCATCGTAATTCGTGTGACAAACAGAAGATGTGTGCTAGTGGTTTAAACAGTTGTTTTGCGAATTCTTTTAACAATTTGACCGGTATATTGTCTGGACCCGACGACATTTATTTTTTAAATGCGATTAACATATAGATTGAAGCTCGGGTCCAGCGGGCTCTACAGCATTTCCGACATTGGGAGTCCAAAACGCCGGTCCCTTGGGAAAACAGAGGCAAAGTATTACCACATGCGTTCGGCTTTCCTTCTGCTTTCAACGATTTCTACACCATTAACTGCCCTAAGCACTGCATCCACGTCCTGATTTTTCAGTCTGCTGTTAACATAATGAAATAAATTTTTGGGCTTTTGTTTACTCTGTCGCCTGCTGGTACGGTCAGTGGAAAGTGTTCTTGGTCGCAAGCTCACCAAATGAAATTCTAGGACTGAACACGATAGGGTATTTTCTCTGGCTTGCTGACGGCTTAGGGGTGAAGAACTTGTATTGGGACTAACGTGTAGCAATTGCCTAATCAGATGCGAGCAGTCGTGCAGTCATTGAGACATTTCTGACCATAAGTGATAATTTCGAAATCCAATAACATTGGTAGGTATGCAACGGCATTGTCATTTGACACTAAGTATACGGGAACCAGTTTGCGCCACCTGAGCTTATTCGGTGATAACACTGATAATTGTCTAGAGTCCCGCAATCCCGTCTCCTTATTCACCACTCTTTTCTGTAAGTAGTCTTTGCGGCCTTAAAAGTGTGCAAACTTGTTAACATCCAATTGCCTAAAAGCCCGGTGCTAAGGAGGCCCAAAAACGGTGATTGGTTTTTGCGTTGACACTGTAGACCCTGAACCAAAGCGTTGGTTAGTTAAATAAAAACAAGTTGTCTGGGAACTGACCATCGGTGTTGATGAGTTACAGTGAGTGACCGGCCTCATGAAGTATTGGTCGAAATTCGAAATGCGTTTTCGATTAGGGAGGAATAATCCGTTTGTGTTGTAAAAATGAGTACCATGCAGCATAATCCAGTGATATTTCGGACTTGCGAGGATTTCGGCTTTTTAATGCACTTCCATTTCGATCTGCTGCAACAACCACACTCAGTAAAAACTACCTGCTTATGTAGCATGCATGATTTTCGATGGTCTTAAAAATACAAATATATTTTAAAGAACACATGCATAAAATATGCTTTCTTCTACTCATTTGGCGGCAAGTCACGTCGACTTTACATGTGGTCCCTGAAGACATAGTATATCTAGGTTTTAAAAACGTTTTCCATTACCCGAATAATTTAAGCCAGATCAGTCGCTGCATTTGCGTTTAGCGATTTGATTGTAAAAGACGCATGTTCTCCGCGTAATGAAAATAATTTATTCCACTATGTCTTTAAGAATATATCATTTAGAATTACTGAAATTTTTTCAATGAGTGCGGAATATGTTATGAATTTCGTGAGGAGCGATGGTAACA